ATACCGGTATGTTAAAAATAATTTATAAAATTATTAAACAAAATGAATTAATATTAATTACTTTATTTGCATACAACAAATACAGCATCAGGTGATTATAAAATATTAATTATAACATTATTAATTGCAAATTATAATGAATTAATTACATTATCTAGTTTTATTAGCCACATGTACCAAATTGTCCAGGTGAGGGATAGACTTTATTATCACTACCAGGTATATTACATGATAGTTCGTCGGCGCATTGTTGATCTAGCGAGCACAGGCCATCCCGTTTAATGTAGCCAGTTTTTATTTGCATCACCACGTAATTATTACTTATGATCATGGCCAAAAGTAGTGTCACAGCGATCATCTTAAGTGTCATGTTGAAGAAATAAATATTTAATTTAACGAGATTAAAAGTATTTAGGTGTATAGTAATTTGATTTAGTTATTTTAGCTGATATTAATACATTACTATTATTTACCATGATCAAAATATAATTAAAATACTAGCAGTGAATATTTGAATAGTTTGGCAATGAAATATTTGGCAGAATTTATTGTCATTTTTACCATATGTTAATTAAAACACAAAAATTTATTTTTATAATTTATCGTATGATTGTCATTTTTAAATATTTTACTTTTAATTTAAATAATTTATATATTTTATTGTTAATTATAATAGAATAAATAATTATTTGTTTTTATTTTTTTGTAAAACCAATTTAATTCATTTCATATAAAATTTTACACCATGTTTAATTGTAAAATTATTTAACAAAACAGTATATAATACATGATAAATTTATATAAGTTTTAATTAACCATCTATGTTTAAGTCATAGATAAACGTGATAACATTTATTAAAATAATTTTTATATTATTTAAAATTAATTATAAAAAATTATTAACTAGTATAAAAATTAATTATAATCTCTAATTATGATGCGCAAAAAATACGATGAAATTAATGTTGAAAATGCAATTTCTTATAATCACTGCAAAATAAAAAATAACACAAAATTAATAAAAACAACAAATCACCTAGATACAATAAATATTTCAATAAATAACTATATTAAAAAAATTAACAAACCTAAAACTTAAGGCAAAATTGTGCGGCAATTCACGGACCAAATGAAACACAGGTCCAGTGTTTTCTCTATCAAAATCAAACAAAAACTCATTGTTTATGTCATTATTATATGGCTGCGAGTGTTGGCCACCACCAGTGTTGGTAGGGTGACCAGCGTCGCCCGTATTGGCCACTCGGACACGACTATCCAGCATATGTAGAGTTCTATACCACGATGAGTGGTGTGACTCCATTGTTGCCAACCCATCGTAACCGTTGCTATTATCCATAGGCTTATATCCGGGCATTTCGTATATTATATCCTCGTTTCTCGGCTTTTGTTTACTATATATGCAGACAATGAGAACAATGAATATTAATATAACTTAATAAAAAAATTCTCAGACATAATAATAGGCTTAAATATGAATGATAAAAATATTTATATTATTTTGACATTGTTCACATGTTTATTTAGCCATCGCGAGTGCACGTACAGTGAGAGTGTATTTTATTATGTGCACCTAACCCAATTTTATGTGCAAAATGATTATTTTAATATAATAACCTTTATCCTATTCATAATATATTAGGTAAGCACCATAAATAGAAATGTTATTTGCACTTAAAAAGCATTACAGTGGATTTCACTTGAAAACTAGCCTATTCATTATAAAGAAAATAATATAAATATATAAATAAAACTATTGTAAACACTATTCACAATGGATTCAACCAGCATGATGATCATAACAATAACCACAACAATGTCAAAATAACCGCTATTGAAAATATAATAGGGCTAGCGTTAAATAAACATCACCAATAACATTTACAACCACCAATATAAAATTATAAATAAATTACATACCTATTATATTTGTACGGCCGGTCGTGTGGGGGCTGTTTATTACCCCCTTTGTAATTATAGTGATTGACCTCGAGTTGATTTTCGCTCTCAAACGGCTCGTAGGTTTGCATGTCTGGCGGCCCCTCCGGGGCAGGGGGTTTGAGTTTACGGCTTTTCTCCTCCAATAACAGTAATACCTCGGTTAGAGTGACCATCGGTTCAACGATATCGTTAATAAGTCCGAGTAGTTGTAGGGCAGGCAGTTCGCGGATTTTTTCGATCACCTTGCTCTTCAACGGTTTATCATGCTCCTTTTTTATGTCGAGCAAAAATCTGATCACTTCCAGTTTGCTGGGCCCGTGTCTACCATGTATGGGCACGGGTAGTATCAGGCATAGAATGGCCAGGTATAGCACGTATAGTGGTATTTTGTTCGTGTGTAACATTTTTGGCATTTAGTTTATTTTATTATGTGGCTTATAATAAAAATATATAAATCACTTTTTTAGTGTTGTTTAAAAATTTATTTTTATAATTAGGGTAAAAATCACAATTTTGTTGAATATATTATAATATAAAACAAATTGTTTTATCACATTATTTAAACTTAAATAACATTTATTATTTATATGGCGGCTATAAAAGCGTGAATTTTATTTTATCATCTTGTATTATAAAAACACAGTTTTAATTATAACGTCTTATCCTATGGGCCACTGATTTATATATTTATTTGACACACATTTGTCTCTCAATTTGTTATTATATGAATGCCATCACAATATATAACAAATATTATATAACTTTTATATTATAGCACTTTACAACTTTTTTACCATCAAGAAACTAAGTTATTTTTTCACCATCACATAAATTGAGTTTATTTTCGCAATTATAGTCATAGTAAAAAACAAACAAAAAATTTAATCCAGATTTTAAGCAAAACTTTTTTCATTAATTTATTTATTAATTCACAAAAAGCATGTATTAATCAAATGAATAATACATACATTGAAACACTTAAAGAGACAGTTGTATGTAAATTATCATGTGTTGCATAAGTAATGAACGTGTATTCAACTTAAATAACAAGTTAATTTTAGTTTATCATGATGGTAAAATAAATTTATGTTTCACTTTTGCCAATCACTAACACAATTAATTTTAGCCGTCAATGAAAATGATCGCAAAATTATACATTCAGTGAACAAACACTTCACTAAAAAATATTATGTAATAAATTATTTTAAAATCCGTTGCCTTTCAATCAAAATTCACACAAAAAATTAAATATTTTGATATTTTTAAACATTCAAAAACTTTTCCCATTTGAATAACATGTAAGAAAACACGAAAAAACTTTTTACTGCAAAACTATTTTTGTTTGACAGACTTTGCTCTGCATTTGTTACTACATATTAGGCACACAACAAATCATGAATGTCTTAATGATAGGTAGATTTTTAATAACTTATATTAAAATAAAAACATATTTTTTAATCACAAAACATAACTGTTTTCTCTTCACAACGAAAGCCAATCGTTGATTAAAATCAGAAAATTATTTTCATTACGTTATATATATTTTTCCGACACAAAACACATGAAATGTTTACACAAAATACACTTTAACTTAATTCACATATCTTTATGTATACAATATATAATATATAACAACACAGTATATATACATACATATAATTATACGCTCATAGAAATACCGGTTGTGTTTTTTAAGATCAAAAATCAGAGCAAAACAAAAAACAAGTGCTAAAACTCTACTGCACTATAAATAATAAATACATACATGTAATATATATACTGTACATGTTATATGTGGTTACATAATACACATTCAGTTAGGTTTTCCATTAAGGTAGCTCAACAACTGTGATAATCTATATAGTTTTTCCATTGCTAAACACAGGTGTATATAAGATATTGCATGTATTTTATTACATAGATGTCGTAGAGTTGGCTATAAGTAATGGTAAGACAGTGTGGACTATAAATAGGCACATATTTTTATATCATGTAGTATTTGTTATGTTTTTTATTTAGCCCGTTGTTTGCCACACAAAATCTTCCGGCAATTGCCCCCAAAGGGGTGTTTAATAGTTTTTTTGTTGTTGCTATTTATTTTCATGTAGCTATATTTGGGTGATATTTTATCTATATATTTTACTTTTTGTATTTTTTTGCATATCTGTGCTGTTATATCAATCATAAGTCATTTGAATATCGATAGCTGCTTTTATTTTTATTTCCACCATGCACGTAAATGGCAGGGACTGGTCATTTGCCCATAGGATTAGCATATTATATGTATTAATTAAAGTGCAATGCATATAATTATTTCCAACTAAACTTTATTTATGACTTTAAATAGTGTTTGTTTTTTTTTTGTTTCGCTGATTTTGAAATTGAAATTTTAATATTTATATTTTTATAACTATT